ATCATTACCTTGACCTTATTCCCTTTGGCACCAACTCTGCATGCAGTGTAAAGCAGCAGGTAATATTCTCATTTCCTGGCAAGTAGTATGGTGTTCCAGCAAACTCAGCTTTGCCAGTCACGTTAAATACACTCTTCTGCTTCTAATAACTGCAGTTGCATTAATTGTTGAAGTTTTTCTTTAGCAGCTCGAATTGAGAATAGTCCTTTCCTAGTACTGACAGATTGCCACTAATTGTAACTTGGTTTAGGACAGACACAACATACTTCTACAGCACCTAAGGTTGATGTTATCAGACCCTCTACATGCAACTGTAATCTACTAGTGAGAGACATGGAGGGGGATTATGAGATACCAGGCTTAGTAGCCTTGCTCTTTCAGAGATGGGTAGGTAGATATAAATTGTGGGTTGGGGATGCTTTCCATTTTTTCCCCTAAAACACATGTTACCAGATGGCTTGGTAAAGCTAACAGAACAGTTTACAAGTAAGTCAGCTTTGCTGACCACGCTCAGAACAGTGATGTCAGACCAAGCCTTAAACAGACACTGCTTTGGGAACAAGTTAGTTGGTTAGAGCAGAGGTCAGCCCCCTGCAGCACACAGACACATTTAGACAAGCAAACCACAAGGCTGGTGAACAAAAGCCAGGGCAGCTCAGGAGGGGCAGCATCTCCCAATGAAGCTCTGAGGAGCTTCTGTCTTCCAGAGTTAAAACAAACAAACAAACAAAGAAAAAAAACAAAACACCAAAACAAAACAAGTCTTCTCTCCATGAGGTACTTCGTGGCTCCCACTGAGATTTAAAGCCAAGAACTCTTCCAGGCTCTGCTCCCAACTAAGGGGGAAAAAAATTTCACAGGACTGGAGTGAAAATTTTGTTCTTCTCCAGGCAAATCACTAGACCTCTCTCTGCCTTGGCCCCTGACTGCTACTCTACAATAGCACGTGCAGCGCATTCCAACCTATGAGTGGGAAGTGCTAGGTATTAATCTTTCTGGACTTGCCTTCCCCTGAAACATTGTCCTTTCTCTTTCATGTAACTTCTTGCATCTCCTACCCCAATAAATGCTGGGCAAAGAGTATGATTTGTAACACAGCACACACAGACCATGGGAATTAAGAATAAGTGCCTCTGAGAAAATTAAAGAAACTTACACATTCAAAAGCAAACATGACTCTAGAATTGACTGATGTATGACAAAGACAAGAAAATAAGCAAGGAAGAGGGATACCACAGTTACATTCAGATTGCTAGGGATTGTCAAATGAGAAAGAACCTGGATAAAAGGAAAGTACATGAAGAGATGAGTACTGCATGTTTGGTAGCAGCAGTTCTAGGAAAAGACGTCTGCTGACACTGTTCCATCTCCAGATGCCATAAAGGCCCATAAACAATGGTAGGAAAACACCCACAAGAAGAGAAGTCACTAGAAAAGAACAGATTGTAAATTCAACTTTGTTTGAAACAAGTCTGCAGCAGAGCATGCCCATCAGCTAACCCTGCTCTACCTGTTCCAATTTAAAAGAGGACAGGTTCATCCAACACTGCAGCATAAAGGCACTGCTGGAAGCACTGGGCCAGGAAGGACCACCTCTGACCCTGACATCTGCACCAGCACATGAAGAGGTATAGGTTTATTTTTACACCAGCTTTTACAGTATTTACTTTCTAAATCCTTGAATTGGGTAAATTTCTTCCTCTTTTCTTTGTTCCCTGTAAAATCTCTATTTTTAAAAGCCACTTATTTTAAAAGGAACAGATGGCAATACCATATTCTCACTAAAATTAATTCTGTCAGAGTAAAATAAAAGCAGCTGAGCTCAGTCTACAAGTATCTAGTAGGTAGTTAGCTGTTTTGAAAAGAACAAAGCTTTGCACTTGGAAACTTAAAAAAAAAAAAATCACACAGAAAACCACCAAAACCCTAATTTGAGCCTCTGTAAAATCCCATTTTTGTACACACCAAACAGCTATTTGCCTGTGCTCTAGTAGAAAACATTACCGGGCAGCAGCCGTAGCACCAGAGGTAATACTGATGCAACATTATGGAACTTTGTTTAAAAGCAATCTGCTCTCAGTTGAAATAAAATAATTCTCCCCCCTTCCCTGGTTCTTACAACATTCAGAAGAAAGCTACTGCAAACTTGCAGAGCTTTTACAGATCGCTATACAAGCCCATAAAGGTAACCTTAAATTCAACATAGCTACGTTATTTAGTGTAATAACAGCAAATGGGCACTTAGTAACTTAATTACTAAGTGACTTAGTACTAAATCTACAGCATATATAGCAGGGAGAGAGGGGAACCCACTCAATACACTGACTTCTAGTCACTTCAGAAAAGGTACAATGTCTTCTGCTTTCAGCTGATCATTCTCCATCTGCAGCTATGAAACATAAGCTGGCTATTGCCTGTCGGGTGCATATCCAACTGTTAGCTTAATACAACTCAGTTTGTCTACACATCCTAATAAAAATTATGAACCAGTGAAACCCTGCCAAGCACTACAAGGTTCTCTTCAACTGAAGGACAAAAGTAATGCAGTAAAATAGCAATTTAGTTCTCACAATTACCCACAGTGCAAGGCACCTCAAGCTTTCACCAGTATAAAATGGAGTTTCAGATGACCAAAACTTGAGCATCACAAACCTTCCACATGCCAGGTCTAGACAGCAGGGCAGTTACAAAGCACAGATTATGTATTTTTCCTTAAGGCAAGTTATGTGTATCATTGATAACTTCACACTGTATTTCTGAATGGAGCTATTAAAATGAGCCATGTCTTAGGGTATAATAGACACCACCTTATCTGACCACAGACACTGATGGGCAGTGTTATGTTCCCTTCTCTGACCTGCTTGCTGGGAATACTATAATAGTTCATTCAGAGCTACAACAGTAGCTGTGTTATAGCACCAGTCATAACAGTGCCTGGATAAACAAGGATTGCAGACTTGTAGTGAATTATTGTTTAAAGTGCTTTCCTTAGAAATTTTAGTACTTAAATCTCTTAGTGAAGATAGGGTAGTGTTCATTGTATCCCATGAAACCAAGACAGACAGCAGTACTCACATGACAAAAATAGGGTTTTATCAGTATTGCATGCAAGAGTCTTTAACTTGCCTAGATGAAGTCTTCTTCTCTGCACAAATAATTTAAGTAAAAGTCTGTCTGCTATGGAGAGACAAACTAAATGTTAAGGTCCCCAGTATTTGCTTGAACAGATTAACTTATGATTTTCATAGCACTTGCTAGCAGGCTCCCCTTGGTTTTCTATACTGATGCAACCAGCTAACACCAGCAATACTGTCTCTTGGCTTGTGCAGTTCACCTCACATTACTACATTTAAAAGCAGATAAATTAGATCCTGAGTTTAATTTGTCTTAAAATTGCATCCTATCCCTGATGTTAATAGGAGTCAGCCATAGCAATCTTCTTCCCCTCTGCTTTCAATTAAGTAACTTTCTGTATAAGCAATTTAAAAAAAATATCTCTTGTCCTTGGCTCTCTGCTACTAGATGAGTCTATTAAACTGACAGTATAGAGGCTCTGCTAGAGACTAAGAGACAACCTGCAGAGAACAATGTAACACAACCCCTATTTGCATCTAAAAATGCTACTTGTTAACCACAAGTAGGTCTAATAGTAGTACTTTCAGATACTCATCAGTAGACACAAGCAGCAGTGAGGGACAGGATGTCATCTCCACTGCTTGCTTCAGTCTCATGCAGGACAGGGCTCTTACAAACCTTCCTGTTATGAACGGTTCATTTTGTTCCTTTCACAAAACCAGTTTAGAAACTCAAATACGTTTCAGTACTAGTCCACACTTTGCTGCAAGTTTTGACCCGTAAGCAGCAAGTAAAGAAGCACCATAGTGCTTAGACCCAATAAAACTTAAGACAGATGCACACCCTATCTATATTTCTGTATCTGAAAGCCAATAATAGAGGTAGCAAATGGAAGTCTAATGTGCTCAATTGCATATATTGTATAAAGTATTCACCTTTGTGAATTGTTAGAACTTTTTACGATACTCCCACCTGTAAAGTTAAATGCTGGGGAGATTAGAAAGCTTCTGCTTTAATCATGGGAGAGTCTATAGACACGTAGCATCATATGATTAGAATTCCTAGCAGTCACGTTAAGTCAACACTTACTTGACCATTCCTACACAAAGACAGACTACTTCTCAAATTGATCCATAACCCAAGGCGCTCTACCTTTAATAAGAATCAGGAGTGAACTGTATTACTATTAACAGGGCCCCTTCCAACTGTTAAGCAGTTACACATTGGTATATAGAGGCCATACAAAATCTAAGATATTGTACCTTAACCAGTCCAGGAGCTGGAACTATGCCCATTCCCAAGTTAACATGCCGATGTCTAGGTAAATTCTTGGGCCTTCAAGATAACAGAAAGGCATCCAAAGCAAGGATTTTTCCAAATGCTGATTTGTAAATACCTTCAAAAACTCAAACCCTAAAATTAGCTAAGCCGTCTACTTGGTTTAAGGAGTAATCTACAATTCTTCAGTTCAAAAATATCTCATTTACATGTCCTGCAGCACATTGATTGCCATGCTCAAGTGAAATTTCAAACTGGCATTACACTGAAACAACTCAAACTTCAGAGTAATTCCCTATCATATCAAGAACAGCAATTCAGTAGTTTAGGTTACCCACTTTTTTTTTTTTAGACAAGTGGTACCCTACCAGCACATTCCAAAGAAATCAGAGTCCTTTTGTAGAGCATCCACAGTCTGAAAATAAGTTCAGTCCTTCAATGGTTTTAAGCTTTATTTATAAGAAGTTCACTGCATTGACAGAAATATTTGCATTTTATTCAAACTCATCACTAACAGGTTAATATTTACACTTTGACAAGTCTTAAACAAGTTAAAACACAGACAGAGTTTTAGAGCAGAAGGACAGACATAAAAATTACAGACAGACTGAAAAGTGAAAGCAATCAATCACTTCACTCTGGCTGATTTAGTCCAAAAGTCTACTTTTGTTAATCAGATTAGCAGGAAGAGTGGATTTGTCCAAGTCATCAAAATATGGATGGTTCAAGGCCATTTTGCCAGAAATTCTTTTTGCAGGATCATAAATTAACATTTTCTGGAAGAAAAAGGAAACACATTACTCCCTTATGAAATGGGAATTAAAATCACATTAAATAGGTAGATATTTAGCCACAGTAATAATCAAGCAACCAAAGATAAGTTCTCCCCTGTGTTCCATGATTTCTCGTAGAGAGGTCATTTCCACTTACGAGTCAGTAGTAGGTCAGGAGTAATGCATAACATCTCAAAGTTAAGAAACACTTATTCCCCCACTCAATAACCAAGCCCATGCATGTATCAGGGTATCATACGCACTCAACTAAATTCAGAACAAGGCATCCAGTGGAAAGGATTATTAGTTTCAGCTTCTCAACTAAAGGAAATTAATAAGCTTTAGGCTGTTAAAAGCCCAAAACAAGGACAAGTGGTCCTATGCTGGTTTTGTTAAACTGACATTGAATAAACTGATGTCAAATTGCTTCTATTCTGCTTGATGCAGTGGGTTACAGTTAAAATATGAGTGGTCACTCAGCTACAGAATACAAAGAGGAAAGTAGTATACAAGCAGGTAGAACGGCAGAAACCCAGAGTTAAAAAACTCAAGTGTCTTTGCAGTAAGTTATTTCAACTGAAGACGTCAATAAAAGTTGATGAGAGCAAATACAGAGGATGCCATAGTCACTAAAATAGCTTCCAGAACTTTCTAGATTTGTTTTCCTAGCAGTTTGAAAAGAAAGCATCTACAGTTTATATCATACAGCCAGGGGCCTAAAAGACGAATGAAGCATTTAGCAGTCTTCTACTAGCCCTCAAACTAGTAGTCTCCAGAGTCTTTTTGCTTTTATTTCTCCATACTAAATGAAAGTACACTTCAAATTCAAGTAATCAGGATTCTGACAGCTGCTTGTCACCCATCCCCACAAATTTATCTTCCCGAAGAAAAAAGCTTAACCAGCATTACTCTGCCCAGTACTTAGTCTTGATGTTTAACTATCTTTAGACTTCATGCTACAGGGAGTTTTCCAAGTTGGTTTAAACCACCGAATTTGCACTTATATTCTCTGAACTGCAGCCAAATGCAGTGCTATCTCTGGATTTAACCTTCTATGTCCAATTTTACCTTAAGTGACAGGTTCCCATTAGCTATACCCCAGAACTACAGTATCCTATAGTTAATACCAATACCAAAGGTTCTCTTAAAATTGACTCAAAGGGCAAATTTCTTTGAAAATGGGATGCTGTGACATGGAGAATACAGCACTTCAACTGACAGATTAAGTGACTCTTTCTTCTCTGACCACTCTGGAACATACGTTTTTTTCCTGAAATTTAGTGTCTGACAGACCAAACCTTTTGATGACAGCCATTAAGTGCTTTGAAATGCTGGCCCCAGAAGTCATTTAGGTTATGAAGGTCTTAAGTATACAACTTCACTCAAGTAATTTGTCTTAACACAAAAATATGTAACCTCTTTTCAAAGATAGCTATTTTATACACCACTTTCATCTGCAGTAGGCTATAAAAGGAGAAATTAACATTTTCATTGACACATGTGAGCTTGTGCTCCAGAAAGAAATATTCAGTTTTGTTGCCTTTAAAGTTATATTACTGTTTCAGGCTTAAAACTGCCGTGGGAAACAAATGTATTCCAGATGCCTAAGAATTCAGCCATACCATTGTCACCAGGCATTAATAGAAAGCTAAAATTTCAACATTTATTAACTTAAGGCAAAACTACACAAGATTTTACAGAACTTAATGCTTTGAGATTAGTTTATTTGCCTGTTCAATTGATTCTAGTTTGTAAACACAATCAATAACAACTTACTTCAAACTCATCTAATAATGATGCTGTCAGTGGACACAGAGGAATTATTCCCAGCTTAAGTCAGTCATCTCTGTAGAGATGCTGCTGCAAGGTTCAGAGAACTATCCAAAACAACTATGTATTTAACACACGTGGTTCAGGTTGGCAGTCTGAATGCTGGCTCTGCTGTCACCAAGAAAAATTGAGAAGTTGTGGTCATTCAAGCTTCTTGGGTGACACCACTTCAGAGTACTTTGCCATAGCCATACCAATATAGGTAATAACTACTTTCTTTGTGACTGCCTAATGTACAAGATTCCCCTTGTACCAAGATGGTTCCAAGGTTTCAGCCTATCTTAAGACACAGAGCACCCACCCCACACCCCCACATGCAAATCTGCACTGTATAAATGCAGCTTTAGGATAAGACACCAAGGTACATTCTTATAGTTAGGTGCATCTAAGATCACACTTAAGATGTGATACAAATCAGTCTGCAGCGGCAGCATGTGGCAGCTGGAAAAGCACTAAGTGGAAAAGCCTGATACAGAGCTTATCAAACAGAAGTGTAGTGTGGTAGTTCAAGTGTACAGCCACAGAATTAAACTCACACTAGACACAAAATATACCAACTAAAAGTTAACCCAACACAGCAAAAAATATAACTTTAACTCAAAATTTAAAGGCAATTGAGACAGACACAACAGCCTAACAAACTAAACCCCCGGTTTCACAGCTAATTAATAAATTCAGCCATTTATATCATTGTTCATTCAGTTAAGACCACCACAAAAGCTTGACCAAGATGAGCCCACCAAGATTAATCCATGTGCTACCACAAAAAAAAACATTTCCAACTGGATCAGGAGTTCTACAGCCACACCACAATTAGTGCTGGCACAAGGAAAGTGGCAGCTACAGTTTGTGGGCAGGAGCCTTCACTGAGACCTGTTTGTAAAAGCTTATTCTCACTTTCAAGTTGTACCTGGCTTATTAGTATGAAAAACCTGAGGCACGATTGCTTAATGAGAAGAAAAGTAGTCTAGTCATCTATTATTTATAAAAGAAGTGAGTGTATGTCACACAAGGTGTCAGTTCTACAAGAACAACAGCCCCATACCACACCACAGCTGATAGTTTGACAATCTCCATATCTTAATTCTGGCCAAGACCAATTAGTATAGCTTCATGTATTCTAAAGTATTTGAAACAACCTGTTTGGTTTCTTAATCAGCAGTTTAAGAAAGTACTTACAGACAGCAGGTCAAGTCCATCTTGATCCAAGTTTTTTACGTGTGTTCCCAGGCTGCCAGGTTTCCATTTTGGGAACGTGTTTTTGTAGTCTTGCAGGGTTTCCACTTCAGGCCATACCTCATTGTTGGGGGTACCTAAAGCTCTATGCAAGTATAAGCAAAATACTGAGCAGTTTAGTCTGAAATCTGAATGCACTGCTATGATTTTAGAAAGTGCACAGCACTGCTGTGCAATGCTGCACAAGTAGCAAGGAAACGTTCAGCCTGATATACCTGAAGATTCTGAAGAGCTGGTCGATCTCCGAGTCCCCATGGAAAAGCGGCTTTTTAGTTGCCAGCTCCGCAAATATGGTACCTATGCTCCATATGTCTACAGGAGTAGAGTAGCGAATACATCCCAGCAACACCTCTGGAGACCTGTACCACAGTGTCACTACCTGTTGAACAAAGAAATTTAAGTTTATAGAATCAGGTCCTCTAATTGACTGCAAGCACAATGGCTCATTCATTATTAAGCAGTATTCACAGGTTGGGTTTTTTTGGTAAAATAATAGCTGGTGCTAAAAGTTCAATGAAAATGCTACTTTCAAACTTCATTTACAGATAAGTGTAACAAACTCCACTGCAGCAGTTTCTACTACAACCAAAACAGTTGCCTACACCACTTCCCAAAAAGCAGGAACCCTTTAGCACCTAGCCACCAAAACCCTCAGAAAACTTGAGCACATTGTGAAGCAAAAAGGCCCGTAGGAGACAGTGAGCAACAAGTTCTGGCCCATCTGACTCATTGTCAAGGTAATAGTGGGATTCATAAGATGCTTTGGAAGCGTAGAGTAAAACCACAGTCAGGGAGATGGAAAACCACTGAATAAAACAAAACTGAAATAACTTTGATTCTGTTAGTTTGATTTTAAGAATTTTGCAATCCTTTAGCTGTTTCATGTCCAGTTATTACCAGGAAGCTAGTAAGCACTGTCCAAAACTCCAAAAGGATGTTCCAACTCACTTCATGAGTGTATGCCCGCACCGGAATTCCAAAGGCTCGAGCCAATCCAAAGTCTGCCAGTTTAATCACTCCCTTGTTATCGATTAAGAGATTCTGAGGTTTTAAGTCTCTGTGCAGAACTCTTCTTGAATGGCAGAAGACAATACCTTGCAAGATTTGATACAAGTAACTCTGTAGAAAGGATGAAGGATGATGAAGTGGTGGGGGAAAAAAAAGTAACCTTTAGTACAAGTTAGTATTCTGCAACACAGTTTTCCCCTTAAATTAGCTCATCCCATAGTAGTAGGAAATTGGGAACCAAAGCATTGCAGATATTAAGTTAATATCAAAGCCACACAAATTAATTTTTTACTTAAGCTTACTTTAAGGCAGTTTAATTTCAGTAATTAAAATAATTTCAAGTGGCATTTGAGAGCAAACCTCATTCATCTTATTACCCACAGATGCTTCTTTAAACCTTTTTCTCCTTAAAGAGTTAATTATACTGAAAATAAGATCTGCTTATAGCTTTGTAGGTCATCTTTAGATTAATTTCCCTTATATTAAGAATTGTCCTCATTACCTTCACACGTGAACTATCCAAATATTGACCAGATGGAATAGTATCCAAGTATCTCTTGAGATCCATGGAAAGGAATTCAAAGATGAGATACAGTCTTGAATCCTGCATAAGAACATCCTGAAGACTAAAAAACAAGCATACAATCAACTCCATTGCAAAATGCAGTGAGTCAGTTACATTTCCTCTCTCAACAGTGATACAAGCTGACATTTTGAGGTTCCTTTTATGAAAGCCTTAAAAAGCTTTCAGTCTTCAAAGATTAACAGACTTGGAGTTACACCATCATCTGGAAAATCAAGTATATCTGAGAGAGTGTCAGACCAAGATAAACACCCTATATGCTGCCTCTTAAACTTGTGTTCCACTCATGCCTAGGATTGGACACAGGAATTGTTGCCTTTAAAAAAAAGACTGTGGGTATTGGTACTTAGCTTCCATTTGAAGCTGGTTTATTACAGCAGAGCCTGGATTACTAGGAGGGTTTAAGGAAATATTATAATAGAAGCCTAGTAGGCACAGCAGTATTCGCACAGGTTTTTAAGTATCTCCTTCATCTTTAATAGAGTATAAGGGTTCCTAAGCCCAAGCATATGTACATGGAGACACTACATAGCTGGAACTTGGCCAGTTTTAAGTTATATTAGAGATAAAGTATTTTGCTGCATCAAAGAGCAAGTAAATACTTTGTGGGGAAGACAATAGCTGCAATCAATTCTATATGTTAAGTACTTGCTGATGGAAGCTTCACTCACAACTCAGATGAGCCAACTATGACAGTATCGTAACACAACACCTAAACCTCTGTGACAAAACAGCAAGGAAGTGATTTGATGACAGAGGCTCACATCAGAACTCTAAGGTCAAATGGTCTATTCCAAGATGGCAAATAAAGTTCTGAGACAGACTAAAGTAACAGATTCAACCTGTTTTTGTGATATACACTCTGTTCTGATAACTGCTCTGAATATAATTTACATAAATTATAAAGTCAACAAAAATATGTTAGATTCCTAGAAAGGGAAGAAGCAGCATGAGGAAGTCTGAACTAGAAAACTGTCAGAAACAAGAGATTTAGAACTATAGCTACTTGCTGCAAAGCAGAGACTGTATTAACCAGAGTAGCTCTCACTTCACTAGAATGGTGAAAAAATAATTACTTATCTGAAGGGACCTAGTACCCTTCAAAGAGTTTAGCTAAATACCAGCATATGCATACCATACTATATTGGGATGATGCAGCTCTTTCAATAAAGAAATTTCTCGGATAGCAGTACTTGGAACACCTTCCTCCTCACTTTCTAGGCGTATTTTCTTCATTGCAACCAGTTGGCCTGTGATTTTGTGCCGACCTTTATACACAATGCCATAGGTACCTGAACAAAAAGACGGTGAAATGCATATAGGAAATACCAGCTTCAGGTACAGATAATTCATTGCAAATAACAATTGCTAACATAGGCAAGAGCCTTTGCAATCAAGTAATTTTTGTTCAAGTATTAGGCTTAATTACAAACTACTACTTAGTTTTGGCAGTTTAACCATGCAATAGTTTTGTTTGTTTAAAGTATGCTGCCCATAAACAGCATCATTTGTTAGGACAGGGTACATAGCAGCCCAAGTGTGAAACTTGAATATTTGAAAGATGCAGTTGTAAATTAAAACCAGATATTGAGTTTCAGGTTGATTAACTTCTAGGCAAGATCACTATACCTCTTCATCCCCAACAGGTTATAGTTTTGTCATTGATACTTCATATTAGAAGGTTAAAGGTTTAGCTGCAAAAAAAAAAAAAGTAGTGCTCCCTCTGCAGAGATCTATCCATCCATTTGTCAGATCTGTAGAAATGCCACTAGCACAACCCTTAGTGCAGGAGAGAGGGTAGTGCTGTGGGTCTCAGCAGAAGCTAAAAATGGAACCAGTAGTAAATCTCAAATCAATAATCTATTTGAATAATCAGTGTTCACAGAAGTAGAACCCTCGACAAAACAAGACAGTGGAAGTATTCTCTTTTCACCCTTCTTGAAGCATTAATCCCTCAGATTATGCTCAAACTAGTTTCTTTCAGCAAGAAAGGTTCACACGCAAGGCTTCAGTTACAAAGCCTTGTAAGATGCAAGCCCATACATTTTGCTATCGCCATAAACAGCACCTTCTCAGAGTAGCATATTGCAAACTCTCAAGTCTACAAAAGGCTAAAGCATTATGAAACATATTGACTTCTACCCTTAACATAGGCTGGATTTCCAGTGAGAGAGTGGTTGTGACTAACAGCTGCATTGAAGCAATCTTCATAGCACCTTATAGTAAATTGTTAATATTCACTTCTCCAAAGGTTTACAATCTGCTCTTTTCCCTTGACAAGTAGTGACTGGTTACAATCCAAGCAGAGCAATCCACAAACCACTACTCCATCCCAGCAGCTCCAAGCAAGGTAAGTATACCACACAGTACAACTTCAGGAACAACTGGTACAGAAGTTCATGTACAAAGGAGCAGAGGAACTTCGTAAATTGAAAAGCTGATTTCAGGCTTCAGAACATGATTTTCCCTTCTTGGTGGAACACCACACCATTACCCATTAATACAAAGACAGAGGTTTCTCAGCACTGATCACTTGTTTCAAATAGACGACGTCATCTTCAAAAGGGCAATCAGAAAGCTTTAACCGCAGGCTTACTTTGGCAGTCAGTTGAATCTCAGTAGTTCCTCTAATAGCCAGAGTGCACAGAGCTTCTTATGACACTTGATAATTCAAACTGTGCAACATTACGAAGCTCATGATACTCCATACTTACCTTCCCCAACCTTCTCTATTTTTGTGTAATTATCCATTGCTATGGTTGTCCCTGAAAAGAGCAGGGGAAAAAAAACCATAAGAGTGAACAGTTGCTGTCCTGAACACAGCCAAGTCACTGAAACTATGCCAGAACTTTGGAAGCTAGTTTTGTCTTACAGGATTCAGATGTAATGCAGAACACTTAACCCTCCTCTTTAACAAAAACACAGGTTTTTATTCAGGGTTCCAACTAGAAAAAAACTACATCACAAAGTATGATTAAGCACCAACTCAAAGGAGAAAGATGCTTTTGTGAAGAAAGCTCCTCCAAGCAACTAAAATACATACCCTACTTATTAGTTTTACATAGTTACTCGTTAGCAGGAACCCTACTGTCTAAAATCACAGGGTTTGATGTTAGCAACAGAAGGGAACACCAACCCTGTATCATTTGTAAAGTCTTTAGAGCTACAAATCTAAACTAAGTTAACAGTCTTAGCAAGGTACTAGGGGCCATTAGCACCTTGTGGGAGCGGCAGTTCACACCCTCCGGGCTGCTCCTGGCCTGCTTCACTGAGCGCAGCCGAGCTCTAACACCAGCCTCGGAAGCACTAT